ATTCCCCGTCACCTTTATGTATGGTTTTTATTTTTACTCAGCATTTGATATTTCTTTCAGTTTTTTTCTGCTGTCATGTCTTGCGCTCTGTATTTTCGTTTGCCAGTTATGAAGAAGATCTTTGTTAAGATCAACATATGTACAGTATATTGTGAAGAAAAAAAAATACAAAACCATTAAATGTAATGTTTTCTCTAACATTTTTGAGAAGTTGCTATTTTTTCTAGCTTTTTTGAGTGGCATGTCCAAAACTGGTCTTTTTTTTGCAATAATCGCTTCGACACTAAGATTCAATGTGTGGCAATTATGTAAAGAATGTAATGTAATGATATTGCAAATTATGACATTTGGAGCCTAATCACTAGTGATGCAATTCCCCGTCACCTTTATGTATGGTTTTTATTTTTACTCAACATTTGATATTTCTTTCAGTTTTTTTCTGCTGTCATGTCTTGCGCTCTGTATTTTCTTTTGCCAGTTATGAAGAAGATCTTTGTTAAGATCAACATATGTACAGTATATTGTGAAGAAAAAAAAATACAAAACCATTAAATGTAATGTTTTCTCTAACATTTTTGAGAAGTTGCTATTTTTTCTAGCTTTTTTGAGTGGCATGTCCAAAACTGGTCTTTTTTTTGCAATAATCGCTTCGACACTAAGATTCAATGTGTGGCAATTATGTAAAGAATGTAATGTAATGATATTGCAAATTATGACATTTGGAACACATGCATGTCTGAAATGTGTGTTTTAAATATGGATGTCAGCAAAACATTTTCGGTAACTTATTTCAAAAAGTGAAACTTTCAAATATTCTAGATTCATTTCACGTAAAGTAAAACATTTCAAAAGTTTTTTTTTGTTTGATGATTAGAGCTAACAGCTCATGAAAGTCAAAAATCCAGTATCTCAAAACATTAGAAAATTTCCTAAGATCAGTCAAGAAAAGGATTTGCAAAACAGAAAAGTTAAAGTTCTTTAAAGTATGTTCATTTATGCACTCAATACTTGGTCGGGGCTCCTTTAGCACAAACTCCAGCATCAGTGAGGTGTGGCATGAATCTATCAGCCTGTGGCACTATTGAGGCACTATTGAGCTTCAGCTCGGATCCACTGTTTCTCATCTTTCTCTTGAAAATATCCCATAGATTCCATATGGGCTTCAGGTCAGGCATGTTGGCTGGCCAATCAAGCAAAGTAATATCATGGTCAGCAAAGCACTTGGAAGTGGTTTTGGCTCTGTGGGCAGGTGCTAAAGTCCTGCTAGAAAAGGAAATCAGCATCTCCATAAAGCTTGCCAGCAGATGAAAGCATAAAGTGCTCCAAAATCTCCTGGTAGATGGCTGCATTAATTTTTTTACTTTCATGAGCTGTAAGCTCTAATCATCAAAAGAAAAAAAAAAGAAAAATAAATGTTTTAATTTACATGTAATAAATCTAGAATATATGAAAGTTTCACTTTTTGAAAATAGATGATGGTTGTAAAGCTCCAGTTTCAAAAACATCCAAGCTGGAAGTTGTTAATATTTCCTGGGAAAATGTCCTTGTTATGCTTTAAAAATGTGTCCCATATTGAGCATAATATCCATTTGATTGTGGACATTCCAGAGGCAGCTGCTAAGCTGTGATGTGTTTGCATGAAGGAGGGTGTGAAAGACTTTATCCCTGCAACTAAACAGTAGAACTAGCACTAGCATTCAAATAATTCACTGTAAAGAGCACAGGGAGAGTTTGAGTGATTGTGACAGAGAGGAGAACTTTGCTTTTGTCCAGCTCGCATGTCTCTGAGAACTCATAAGGAACATCTCTCTGAACAGCTGAGACTGATTTCATGAGATCAAGCGCGTTTTGATTCTGACCAACTATGCACACTCTTTTTTGTTGCTGTTGCAAAAATACACTTCACACAACAGAAAACCCAGTTTAAAATGGCTGACATCCAGATTTAAACCATGCACTCCAAACACTCATGTCTTTGTATAAAACCCTCATCTTTCTATTCTATTTCAGGTAGTTCAAATACTAATGTACCGCTTACTGCACAGTGCACACTAAATGCCAACTGCTGTTTTTTTTTTTTTTAAATGCTATAAAATGTGAAATAGCATACTATATTTGTCCTGTTAAAGCCGCACGATTATGCCAGAAATCATAATTTCGATAATTTCCCTTGACATTGTGATTTCAGTGATCAATGATGATTAATGTCAGTCATCACAATTTTGTCAGTGACTCACAAAAGGAACTTTAATTAAGCAGATTCACTGCTGAATTTTTAATAAAGCTGTCAGTAACAACATTTTGCAGTGTGCTTGTGACTGTTGCTTCTTTAAGCAGCATGATGAATAAAACTTGTAATAGATTAGATACTATATTTTCCTGAATATAAGCCACATTTTGTATCATATGAACATGTTGTGACTAATATTGCAAAGCAACTAACGCAAGTAACGTCAAGCACACAAAATGTGTAAAGTTGGATTTTTGGTGGTAGTTTTATTAAATGCTACTGTAATTTATGTTTGTTTTATACTTATATATTTCATTCCTGTTCTGAATACCATCAACAAAATGAATACCATTAATAAGGATTTGTTACATGTTTATATTGTTTATTATGTCTGTATTTTACATTATTTCTCAATTTAATAATAAAATGATGTACTGTACATACTGACTTACCTGTGTTTTTTAACAATAGAAAAACAGAAAATACAGTAATCACTGATGCTGTCAGTTATTTCAGTTCAGCACAATCTTGTGAGTTCTGCACTCTTGCAAAAACTCTTGTTTCCATTACAGATTTGCGTAAAACTTGCGATATTTTATTGTAGCATCTGGACCAATCAGACACACCATTTTTCATTTGATTTAACAAATCAATTATTCATTAGATTAACAAATAATTACAGACCCCTCACCCAATAAACATGCTGGGTGCCAGGATGTCTGCGAACGAACAGGCCTCTGATTCCATGGCAACCAATTCTGATATCACTGGTTTTATTGCCCAAAGGAATGTGGGTAAGAGAAACTCACTACATTTTCCATAGGAAAGACACAATGCACAGTAAAAATGGACTCTTCTCTAATTAATTCATAGGAAAACCTTTCTTTGAATGAACACACATATCCTTTAGGTCATTGTGTATGTCGTTACTGTCCTTGTATATAACTTCAGCAAAGATCAACTTGAGCCTTCAGATTGTATCGGGACTCTATGTCAGACAGACAAGATGTGCAAGTATCAAACGTAGTCTTGTTAATTGATACATTAAGTATCATTTGCACCTTTTTACAAAGGTGTGTTTGAACTAAGAATCTGATGTTTCCTTCAG